CATGGCTCTCTCTACCCATACAGAAAGCCACGCTGGACTCATCAGCACCAGACTGCTATTGCCCTGTAACAAACCTCTTCTAATCAGACTCACTGGGAAGCTGGCCACGTAAGCTGCACTCACCAATGAGAGCATGCTAGATCCAGAAATTCAAGGTTCTGGCTAAACTTGGGCAGAAGTTAACTGGAATCATCCACCATTCCCATTAAAATAAGGTCATGGGCAGATGGCCATATCCTGATGGAAACTCTACAATTGGCCAAGAGCTGTTCTGCCTGAAAGAGCTGGCAGATTTAGGGCAGCATATTGCTTTGAGTCTGTTGTTGAGCAACTCCCACTGCTACCATTTGTGTAGACAAACAGCTTCACCACCAGGACCTCTGACTGCTGACAAAAGAATATAAACTCAGTTGAGTATATTGATGAGATTTGCTTCTTTGTGCACGTAATTACTCCTATTGGCAAGACAGTTTAATTGACTTGTTATCAAACTTTCCAGTGTTTTCACTGGAATGTAAAAGGAATGTATAAAATGTTAATACCTATGGACTGTCCAACTTCTATGAGCAAACCATAGAGCTTTTCCAAGTCACTCATGTGCCAAGTTCTTGGATGTACCTCATGAAATCATCAGAAATCCATCTCAAAATAACATCCCAGCCCCAGCAGCAGGCTTTTGCCAGTCAGGCACCCACAGCCTGAATCAAGGACTATTTTTCTTACCTGTGCTTTTGTTTCAGAATAATATTTACAATGAGGTCAATGTAAAATAAAACAAGCAAACTAAAAAGGCAAGTTTCCTGAAGGATCAAGCCCCTAGTAAGCTTAGTTTGAAAACTGGCAGGTCTGGGAAGAAACAATAGGTACATCTGGCAGTATGTGAGATATCCAGATCAGTCTTACATCTCCGCTGACAGCCAGAACTCAAAGCTTGAGAGAGATACTCGAGACAGTGCAGAAAACACATACAAGATCTGTCCCAGAAACGGCCTACATTGATACATGGTGAAGCAATTTCAGTATTTTGGTCATCTTCAGTTTTGACAGTTAAAACAATCTGATATCTGTGCAGCAGCAGTGCAGACGTATTGGAAACTACTGATCTATGAAAGAGCCAAGTGTGAAATGAGCTACCAAAGAGGACAGAATTTGACCTTACATACAAAATTATACATCTGCTGAATGAAAGAAATATACCTAGTAATGTTGTATCAGAGAAAACTACACTAATGCAACATATTGATTTTGAAGCATTTTTACATCGGTGCAACTGGTGTAGCAGCATTCAAAAGTGCTTTATTTCAGACTGTTTAAATGCAAATGATTTCTCATGCACAAAGTGGTATAAAGTTAGAAATGTTTTAAATTGCCATACCATCAGAACTTGTAAGAACAAAGCACTCAGCTTGGGACTGCTTCTTCCCACCAACACTTCTGGGAAGCCAGTGAAGGTCTATGGGATAAGTATCATCTGGAAGTTTCACTACTCGAGTCGTCTCACTCGTTAGAAGGTTCCATTTCAGAATCTGGTGATCATCACTGCAGGAATACAGCTCGTCAGCTGTGGTCCATCCCACACAGCTAACTAATTCCTTATGTTTAATTAAATTAAGGAAGTCTGAAAGTTTTAATTGTTAAAAATACTTATTAAATGGTCATTACTTCAACATTCAACATACTTGAACATTACTTCAATGCTATTGCGCAGAATACTTTATATATAGGAAATACAATTCTTCATTCTTTCCCTGCTTGTTTGTTTCAAGAAAAGCTGGTAGAAACTCTATGAGAAATAAAGCAGACAAACCATACCGTGTGACAAATATTTTACTGCAAGATTTATGATAAATAAAATCCTTTAGAGAAGATAAACTACATGAGAATATAGCATGGATTTCAGTGGTTTATTCTGAGATAAAGGATATGTTTTGGTTCCTTTAAAAGCGAAGTCTTCAGTCTCATTTTGGTTGTTCAGATGGAACATTCGAACGAGGTATGCAGGTATATTATAACTGCAATAAAACAGAACGAGCACATATATAGGCAGCTGAAACTCAAAAGGAAGATACCAACATTACAACAAAATGTTTTCACATAAGCTACATTACATTAGTACTGTGTCAAAATAAGCACCAAATGAGGTTTTAGGGGTTTGTACAGAATCCAGCAGCACCCTTGCACGCTGAATAAGAGCACGTTGTGCCAGGTGTGCTTTGCTAGAACATTGTAGAAGGAAACACTGAAGTTCCCTGGTGCACACACAGCTGTGATGGTAGTGAGGGAAAACCCGAACTTGTCAAGAACCTTCATGTTTAATGACAGCATTGTGAGAACACACAGAATGAAAAGTCCTGCTGGAAAGACAACCCTGCCAGGACCAAATGATACATCATCTTACTGCCACCCACTGCTACTTGTAATGTCCACCCTGCTTCACTGCAACACAGTATTTCCGTGGGGAGGTCAGTGAGGTCCTACAGCCCCGTCCTCATCTGCAGTGCAACAGCCAAAGCCTTTGGGATGCTCTGTGCTGGATGAGCACTGCCGGCCCTCAGGGTGGGAAGGGGGGAGCACAAAGGGTGGGAGCAGACAGGGCACTGAGGAGAGCAGTGATGCACGATGTGACCTCTGAGCCTCCAAATGTTTTCCACCATAAGAACGACGATGGGTCAAACAGCTACCATGTGGAATTTGAGAAATGTAAGAAGGATGCTCAAAGGATAAGAGCTCCTTTCAGCCCTATGTTACACCAATTAAAACGTGCAATAGCTATATTTATTTTTGAACATTTCTCTCATATTTGAATGTCTAACATCCTCCTCATTTCCCGAACCAAGGGCTGTGCCGTGATCCTCACTATCCAGGCACATCAGTTGGCCTTTCAGCCCCATCCCCGACTCCCTCACAGCGGTCCCAGCAGAACCGTCCCATCTGCGTGCCATGATCCCACCCACCCGTTTTCCGAGCACCTCACAGCACCCCTAACCCACCGGCTGCCGCTCGCCCCGCGGTGACGCCTCGCTTAGAGCCTTTCCTATCGCACTGCACCCTCACGGTTCTGGCAGTTCCACCTGCCGCCAACAGGCACGGAGCTCACAGAGGAGACGAAGGCGTTTGTGGGCTGCGCTCACGGGACGCGGCGGCGAGGAGCAGCGGGCAGCGATGCGGAGCGGCGGGAGCTTGGCCTGCGCAGCCCTGCCGCCTCGGCCGTCGTCCCTCCAGGGCTGCGGAGGATCTGAGGGGAGATTGAGCAACGGCTCTGAAGGAGGGGGGGGGGGGGGGGGGGGGAGCGGGCAGGAGCTCTCCTCGGCCCCGCGGCCCGTCTCGCTCTCCGCTCGTGCCAGAACCGCCTCCTTTCGCCCCGCAGCCCGAGGGAGGTCACGGCGGGCCGCCTCCCCGCCGGCACCGCTCGGAATCTCAGCTGACGAACCCGTCCCCCGCCACCCTCGCCATCCGCCCGCCCAGCGCCGCCCCTCCCATCTCCCCGCAGCCGCCCCCCGCCAGGCTCTGCCTTTACCTGTGGCGGCGGCGGCGGGGCGGCCCGCGACTCCGCGAGCTCGGCGTGTGGCGGCGCCGTCTCTATGGCCACGTCTCTCTATGGCTGCGTCCCGCGAGAGGCGCAGCTCAGCGCCGTGTGACAGCGCGTCACCGCGCCTCCCGTGAGCGAGCGCTGATTTCAAAGCGCGCCCCGTTTCCACTTTATTTATTTAAATACTTTTTAATGCTTTTTTTTTTTTTTTTTTTTTTGGTGGGTTTTTTCGTGGGGGGTTTTTTTTTTTTTTTTTTTTTTTTTTTTGGCGGACCGCTCCGCCGCGCCGTCCGCTCGCCGCCCTAAGCGCCGCCCCCTGACCTACTTCTCCAACGAAGGGATTTAATCCCTTCCACCCAGGCACGGCCGAAACACCGCAGATATCGCTTCGTCTGCTCCTCCGACACATGGGGGGGAAGGAGGAATAAAAATAAAATGAAATGAAATAAAATAAATGAACCCAAACCGGCCACCCCCGCAGGACGCGCCGCCCCGCTAACGGCCGCCAAGATGGCGCGCGGCGCGGCTTTTTCCTCCTTTCAAACCCGCGGCCGCCCCGCCCCCTCCCGCCCCAGCCTGCCCCGCGCCTTTCTAACGAATTTCGGTTCGAGTTTGCCGTTTGGGCGCCATTTTCGAGTGTGGAAGCCGCCGAGTCGCGGCGCGAGCCGGGGCGGCCTGAACCTCCGCCGCCCGTCCGCGTTGAGCGCGGCGCTTTGCCGCGGGGCGGCCGGAGCCGGGGCTTCCTTCACTGCCGGCTGGGCGGACGGGCGGCCCGAGAGACCGAGAGCGGAGAGCGGAGCGCCGGAGGTGAGCAGAAGGGGTGGGGGGCAGCGGGCGCCGCGTTCTTCCCCTTCGCTCCCCGCTCTGAGGCAGCGCGAGGCGGCGGCCGTTCCTTCGCGGCGCTGAGTGCCGCCGCGCCGTTCCGCGCTGTTCCGCGCTGCGGGCCGGGCTGTGAGGACGCGCGGAGCCGTGTGTGGGAGCTCCGCCCGCGGCTTTTTACCCTTGGAACGGCGAAAGCCAAACTGTTAGGTTTCCAACGGGTGCCCGGCGCAGGGCTGTGTCAAATGATGGGGGGAGGGTTTACAAAATTAAAAAAAACAATAAAAAAAAGATTTTTGTCGCTGACATCGGTTATCGCTACCGAAAGGCTTGCGATAAGGACGGCTTCCTGCCCGCCGCCGCCTCTCTCCCCTCCCCGCCGCGCGGTGCCGGGCGGAGCTGCGCTGTAGAGAAGCGGCGGCTGTGGAAGAAAAAAGCAGCCCGGTGCCGGGAGAAACTGCGGCTGCCCCGGGACGGCGCTCCGACACGGGAGCACGGCCTGCGACCGCTTTAAAACGCGCTCAGTGTCTCGTTTTTTTTTTCCCCCCCCCCCCTCCCCCATTGTCCCAAATGAAGGACTCTCATGAGAGTGTGGGTTGGGGGTAGGTCTGCAAACGTCAAATGATTGGCACCAATTGTGAGATGACTTTCTAACCACGTCAGTTTTTTTTTATCTGGTGAGAAGTAAACTTTCTCATCTCCGTTTCTCTACAAACTGCTTTGCCCGCTTTGATTGAAACTCTTTAGAGAGTTTCCCTCCCGCCGGTCGCTTTCTCTTTGGCGTTTTGTGGGAGCCGTGTTGGAGTACCGACGTGTGGACTGCTGTGTGTTTCCTCCCTGCTCGCATAGCTCTAACATCACCAGGGATGAAGGTATTTTCACGTCGCTCTGGCTGTTAGATGCCGAATGCTGGCAGTCGGGGCTGCGCTGCGGCTCACAAAAGGAGCGTATTGATGGAAGCTGTTGGAGGGTGAAGCCTGTGCTCTGACTACGCAGGTCTTTTTGTTTGTGTGTACATACGCTCAGCATGGAGTGCTGAAAGTGTGTGTCGGGACTGAGTGCTGCGTGTGAAGAGCTCGGACGTCGGGCTTCCCGCTTCGTTCCTGTCGTCGTCGTTAACTCTTTTGCCCCTGGTGTCACAGCTGCTCTCCCCAAGTGGAGGTCGGTGGCCCTGTGTGTGCTGGGGGGAGTTGGAGCTTTGTGATCCTTGAGGTCCCTTCCGACCCGGGCCGTTTGGTGATTCTGTGAGCTTGCAAACTCCATCGGCTTCAGGAGGTGCACGGCTGCTGTCTGCAGATCAGGGCGGGTCCCTTGTTTTTTGGGGCGATCCGTTTATTAGTTTGTCATAGTTTTTGTTTCAGATTTGGGTTTTTTGTCTTCAAAATACATCTGGTCTTTCATTTCCGCGTTAGTCGTACTTATAGGTATGTTCCGTAGGGGATTGTAGTTTAACGCAGAGATGGTGGGGTTTTCTTGTTTATGTTAGAGAGAGATCCCTTCAATAGTTTGATTGCTTGGAATTGCCGGGGAGCAGCCAGCTGAGATCATGGCGAGCAGGAGCACCAAAACCTCGACAGCAGCCCACCAGAAAGGCAGACAGCCCGTAGAGGAGCCCACCGGTGACATGCAAGTGGAAAAACAAGACGGCAGGCAGCTTGGGGAAGGAGCAGCAGAAGGTAGGTGGGAGCACTGTGCTTCTGGTGCCGTGTAAACCTGACCGTGGTGCATAGCGAGCAACAGGGCTCAGCAGAAGTTGCCGACTATTCCAGATTGGACTCGCTCTGTTCTGATCAGGAGAGGAAGATTGAAAGCTTTGACTTCTGACGTGTTTAAACTGCTTTTAAAGCGGTTTGCAAAGAGTTAGCATTGGGACTTGTGACTTACTACAAGTGCAAAAGCAATTAGTGAATTTTCTCCTAATAAGACCTATTTTATGTTCCTGATCTGTACCAGGTTGTGGTACAAGAGCCAGGATTTTTCACACTTATATGCAGCCAATGCTGTGAGATTTCTTGGAATGGAATAAATGTCACGTTTATTTATTTAACTCTTAAAACGATTTGACTTTCTTTTTCATGAAGCAGTGCATTGTCTTGTGGTTCTTGGGTTGAATTTTTGCTGAAAGTATCTGGAAAAAGAGCAGCGTGTGTCTTTCAGGGTAGCGAGACAGGAAATGATTAAATGATTTGAGCACAGATATTTGACAAACGGATTGATAAATTGAAATTGGTGGTAAAACCTACTGTCTATGTGAAAGAAAAGCTGCTGGTAACTGTTGAAAAGCTGCTTTGCTTACAACAAGCAGATATCCAGGGGGCCAGTTTGTTTTCGTAACAAACTTCCTGTCTTTGCAGAGCAGTTGTGCTGTCATTGCAGCTTTAGAGCATTGTGCAGCGGTCCCCAAATCTTGCAGAGTGACTTGGGAGCGCGCTTGAAATGTGGCTTTGCACTTATTAATTAGGAAGACTTTGCCTGTTTCAGATTTGTAGCTTTATTGTGACGGCTGTAGCTATTGTAATTGCGGAGTGCCTATTAAAGTGTGTTAGAATAGGAATTGCATAATGAAAGAACAAACCCACTGGTGAATCGATGGGATGTCTTAAGTGTCTCTTTTTGAAAGATTCGGTTTGTGGAAAGAAGGATTTAAATTCCACTTAGCTCCTTACAATGGTTGCAGTAGTATAGCTCTGGTTAATATAGAAATGGTGTCTGCTTTTGAAATCGAGCTTTTTATAGGTGTTTGGTCATTGAGTGCTTATGGCCTTAATTTTCTTTCTGCTTATTTTGGATGGTTTTTAGCAGTCTCAAATGAGGAGTCTGATAATCGGAGTTTAGAAGAGATTTTGGGTAGCATCTCTCCTCCCCCTCCTCCAGCAATGACCAATGAAGCCGGTGCTCCTCGTCTCATGATAACTCACATTGTAAACCAGAACTTCAAATCCTATGCAGGGGAGCAAACTTTGGGACCTTTTCATAAGGTAATTTTCTTCTCCCTGTAGCGATCTCTAAATGAAGGTAAGGCTTTGCTGCATGCTGGTGCCCCTTCCTGTAGTTTCACATAACCTCACGTCAGAAAAACTGAAGAGTATTGAGCTTTTAGAATTGCTTTGCTGGTGATATCCTCTCTTTTAGTTACTGAGCAGTAGGGAAAACAGCAAAGTGCAAATTCTTGATTCTGTACAATTGTAATTTGTCAGAAAGCCTGCAAAAAGGCTCACTTCTGTCTTTATTTCGTTTGCTGGGGAATTTTGAGGAGCATGTTTGAAGAATGAGAATGTTTTTAGTGCCCACAAGAGATTTTCGTGGCTAATCATGAAACTTTCCTTGCGAATTTGCTTGCTAAGTGCAGTATCACTTTGAGTTAACAAGTTCTGGTTTAGAAGGCTGAGCTGTGTGGAGGTGTTTTGTTCTCTTAAATAAGTTGTACTGCTCTGCCTCTGGTTGTGAAGATTAAGCTATCGAATAAGCTGCAGTTTCCTGTGCTAGAAATAATTATATTTTGAACTATTTACAAATGAAGTGGGTGATGCACGCTGGATCTACTGCCCTCAGCCCAACACCTTTTTTCCTTCTGTTCTGCAGCGTTTTTCATGCATTATTGGGCCCAATGGCAGCGGGAAATCCAATGTCATTGATGCGATGCTTTTTGTGTTTGGGTATCGAGCACAAAAAATCAGATCCAAAAAGCTCTCTGTGCTGATCCATAATTCTGAGGAACATACGGACATCCAGAGCTGTTCTGTGGAAGTCCACTTCCAAAAGATCATTGACAAGGTACGTATCCTGCTGCTCAGGAGGGTGGCACTTATTTTACTCAAGCCTTTGACAACTTAATATTTGATCAGTTTGAGCTGGGGAGGACGTGGTGGCATAGTTTACCCCTGGGAAGCAGAACATCAATTTGAAGTTAATTAGCTAAAAATCCCTCTCTCAAGTAGTGCAGCTCTTAAAATATGAGCAGGGACTGTTGTGCTGTTCTGTGAGATGAGTATTTGGTATGCAGTCAGTTTGGAGCTGCGCAGAATCTTCTGACAGTCATTTTCAGAAATCGTCGCACATTTGTCACTTCTTTTCTCTCAAGGAAATAAAGCTTATTTCTGAAATTAACAGCACCTTGAGTAACTTTTGAGTCTGCATCTGGATGTGTTATGTGTTGCTACATTTCTAATACGGGCATATAGATTCGGGTGTAAAACCTATTGAAGCAAAAGCTTTCAAACCAATTAGAAGCTATTTTAGAAAATTCATAAAATGTAAAACCAATCTGAAACACTTAATGGATGATAAATGTGCCTGCAATTTTAAATCCGATTTTTCCTAGAATTTCTGGATTTCACACCCACTGGCTGATGCAGTGTTTGAATGAAATAGAAAGTGCTGACAATGTAAAAAAAATAAAATAAAATAAAATTTTGTTGCTTGTCATTTCATGTATTGGTAAAATCTGGGCTATATTGTTGACTTATTGCAATTACATTACTAGAAATTAATTTTGCTTGATTTAAATTGAATTTTTGTGAGCATTTAGTCTGGCTGAAGATTCTTGTTGAATTTCAGATTAGTCAGTATAGTGGGAAAGGTACAGCAAAGCTCCAGAACTTGTGCTAATGAGGGGACAGTCATTAAAAGAACTGTTTTAAATAAATTTTCTTTGACTCAATCTGCACAGACCCGAGCTTTTTGCTTCTGCCTGTGTCAGCCACATTCAGTGATCATTTCGTTTGATTTTTTTTTTTTTGATTTTTTTTTTGCTTGGCTCTGTATGAACGCCTAAAAGCTGCACTTGTGATGTAAAAAGCTTGTGAGTGTACCTGGTCAGATGGTGCTCAGGGGGTTGGCCTGGCAAAGCAGGGCAGGCTGAAGTCTTTACAAGAAGCATGGCTCAGCTTTAACTGCTTGAAGTGAGTCCCAGCTTTGCTGCAGTTGCTTTTTGGTGAAGTCGAGATGATCTTTTGAAGCTGATGTCATCATGTTTGTCACATCTTTAATATTTTGCATTTTTATCTTCTGCAGTTTCTCTTTAGAACTACTCAGCAAAAAGCAGCTTTCTAGCACTACAAAAGAGGAGCTTAATTACAGACAGTAGCAAACCATTCACGGCTTCCTAACCTAAAATTGAAAGGGCAGGATACAACAGCCACTTTAAAGCTGAAGTAGGGCTTTTGTGATGTGCAGCCCTGGTGAAGAGAAGAAATTAGGTATTTTTAAAGCAAAAGCTTGTATTAGAGATGAGAAAGGCAGCACGTGAGGACCATGCAGATTTGGGCTTTTTGGTTTTTTTTTCTAGTGCTTAATATTTTTTTGAAGGTGTGCATCATTAAGTGGACCCTGACTTAAAACCTTAATGTGATAAAATGGTGAAAAGTGAGGTAAACATACAATGCACTAATTGTATTTCTGTCTTTGTTTTTCCTCAACACAGGAAGGGGATGATTATGAGGTCATTCCTAACAGCAATTTTTGTGTATCTAGAACTGCCTATAGAGATAATTCTTCTGTATACCACATCAATGGCAAGAAGTCAACGTTCAAAGATGTTGGCGTTCTTCTTCGGAGTCACGGAATCGATCTGGACCATAACAGATTCTTGATATTACAGGTTGGTGTATGAATAAAACCAATTTTTATGAAAGCCACATTTCCAGGTATAGTTACCAGAATGCTGCTTAGCTTCGAGTCTTGTATGTGAGGCCTTAAAGTACTCTAGCAGCACATCATGGTTTGCAAGCTGTAGTGAAGATGCGAATCATTATTTGCTGCTTTAGAAATTTAAGGAAGAGAAACAGTTGAAGACACTAATATAATTTTTTCTATTAATGAATCTGTGCTCCTGACATGTGGATGAATAGAAGAGTTGTCATACTTGTTCCGCCCTAGCAGCACGTAAATATTGGTGTAGTAAAATAAACCTTAAACCCCAATATTATTGTGCTGCTTAAGCGTGGCAGAGATTCAGCAACTTGTTTATGCTTTAGATAAAGGTGCATCAATACGAACTTAATGATACTACTATTAAGTTATCTACAGTTCTCATCTATAGGCATGGCTTTACTGCAGAAGTATGTATATTAAAAATAACTGCATAAAACTGAGGGCAAGAAAAAACCCATTTACTTCTCATTTACACTCGTTTAACAACTGCAGGGGACTGGAAGCACAGCAGGTTTGTAGCCAATTCTAGGTACATATTGAAAAGCTGCAATTTACAGCTCATGCTATAAAAGTAATAGCTTGTGAATATGATATCATTTCTTCTCACATTGGGATTTAAAGTTCTAAAGCTTGCTGGTGTGTGCTGGCTGTGTGAAACACAGGCAGGCTGAAGACAACCACACTTACTTGTCTAGTGCTTAAATAATAATGGGGGACTTTGCTGGTGCCAGCCAGTCACTTAATGTGTGAGCTGAGTTAAAGCACTTGATGGGCTTATTTAAATATTCCATTGGGCACAGACATCTGCAATCACCCATAATTATTTCACTGCTATTACAAACGTGTCACAAATCTGTTCTGAAGGATTGTGGCCTGGAGAATCAGAGAGCAGTGGAAGCCTCCTAAGATGTGATGGTTTTCAACAGAGATGATTTTAAGTCTGTTTTTGTAAAAGGAGCTTCCAGTTCCCCTCTAACAAAAAAAAAAAAAGACATATTTCAGATAGGTAGCTGTGTTTGCTTCACTTCCTCAAGTCTACTTTTTACAGTTACACCCACAAAAAGAGGATATATCTGTTTTTGAAGTATTCATGCCAATTAATTAATCCATTCAGTGCTTTCTTCTCGTGCTTTTTGGTTTTCAAGTGAGAAATATCTTCAATAATACAATTGGTAATATACGTATTTGTTATAATAATGCTCAGAAGTATCACTTTAGAAACATTGTTTAAAAAAAAAAAAGGAGAAACTGCAGTCAGATGTGTTAGAAATGATGGTGCAGAAGTATCCCAAGCTGAGTGCTGCAGAGCGTGTCCTTCCTGCTCTGGGAGGGGAAGGAAGCATTTTGCAGGGACTACTGCTAAGTTGCTGTTTTATTTTTTACTTTTCTCCCCAGATGTGTTTTTTTTCTTCTTCTTCTATTAATTGTTTCCCATGAGGAGAACGTTCTTGATGCTAAAAGCTTGAGTTTCATGCTTTTCATCTGTATAATGGGGAATCAGGGCAGTGTGAGTGCTGTTAAGACACAGAGATGCTTCCCACCATCTTTTTTCTTTCTTTGCACTGAATTTGGTGCGTGATGTGATAATGAACTGCAGAGGAAACTCCACAGAGATTTTCTGTTTATTCAGTGTGGCTGAGGCAAGGCCCTTTCTCCTTGAACACGTCTGTGTGATTTCTATTATTATTATTTAATTTTCTTTTTTTTTTTTTTTTTTTTTTTTAAATGAATTCTGTTAATCAGACGATACGAAGCTGAGTAATTTCCATCTGGAAAATGTGACTGTTTCTGTATAATGACAAAAAAACATCAAAACCCAAGTAGTAAAAGTCATAGAAGTAAATGAGACCATAACAGAAAGCCAGGGCTGCCTGCTGCCATCACAAGGATTGCCCCTTTTCCCTCCTACTTTTCAAATTAGGTTGTTTAAAGTTGGAGGAATAAGCGACAATTCTATTTCACTTTTGCTTCTCTTATGTTGTAGTTAAGTTAAACGCAGAGTAGCCTCTTTGAGCTCAGTATTGAGTTAGAATAATTTCACTTTGAAAATCAATTGCACCTCTTTGGTTATGACTTTCGCTTGGGTGTAATTAACATAGATCTCTTTTAAGAGACAAAACTGTTACTTGCAACTTGTGAGAAAGCATTCTCTAGCACTAAAGGCAATGTTGTAGGACACGTTCTCTTCCAAGTAGAACTCTGAGATACTTGATTGGTATCCTGCTACCACATCTAGCATTACTCAGTGGCAAATGCTTGCTTTTGAGAAGGCTGCTTCCTTTTTTTTCCTTTTCCTTCTCTCCACCTCGCTCCCATTCTGCAGTCTCCCTCTGGCGTGGCTCATTGGGTGCATCTGGGTGGGACTCTGAAAGCTTGGGCCAGAACCACAGTTTCTACAGGTTGAGTAGAAAGTGGTGCAGGTACTTGATGCCATCCTGAAAACGTTGAAATCAAACTGGTGATTTTGCTGAGTAACGTTGCCAAAAATGCATGTAGGAAAACAATGTGCTGCTGATCAGGCAGTTCTGGAAATGTCAGAAATTGTGTGCCTGAGTTAGTTAGTTAATTGGAAAAAAACCCTTGTTTTAAGGGAATGGGTTTGGTTACTGTGTGCTGCTGCCAACAATTAACAGGAGGAGTTTGTCACTTCTGCGATGCTTAAGTTCTATTGCTATGTATTTTGTTTTTAATAAATTGCTTTATGCTTTTTAGCACTTGGGGAACAGGCAATGCTTGGTGCACTGCTAATGAGATTGCCACAGCCTGAAACTGCAACGGGAAAAAATGCATCTAGTCACTTTTTGTTTAAAGTAGGCTGGGTAGTGTGCTAGTATCTGTCATCTTGCTGCTACTGGTTCCTGCCTTCCACACTTCATACCCAAGCTTCAGTAACTTGTATATCTGTAAAGAAGAACAAATAAAATTATAATTAATTTAGCTTTTTTTTTTTGAATACTTGGAACATGAATGTCTATGCACAGAAAGCTTGGGTAGGTTTGCCCAGCCAGGTCGGGCAAAGCTCAGAAGGTAAGTGTGATTGCTGTTGCTCAGTAGCAAGTCCTCTGAAGTGGTCAACCTCGAGGCCAGAAGGAAATCCCAGCCTCTCACTCATGGCTGGTTGTCCCTAAGGAAGCATTAAATAAATGGGGAGAGCTTGAGGGGATGTCAGTTAAGGACACCTGAGGGCAGGAGGTCTGGGGAGCAAAGCAAACCGGACAGCAGCTGTTACCACCTGCTGAAATTGGCTTTGTTATCTTTCAAGGTAAGAGAAGTATGGTTAATATCAACTTTGTAAACAGAGGATGGAGTTTTGCAAGCAATGCCCATACGGATGCATATTGCAGAAACAACACTAAGAATCAGAAAACCTGAATTTGTTTTATATTTCTATGAATTGAAATCAAACTGTTCTTGAATCTGTTTTTTCAAACTATTTCAAGCAATTCTTCTGCTAATTAGTGTCATTTAAATGTATTTGATAGACAATTTAAAATTTCTCATGTAATCTTATGCAAGTAGGAATAGCTACAGTGATTTTATATGTATGCATTTTTTATCTGATTGGAACGGCAGTTTTTAATGTACAGATAAGTCTTGTCCAGTGGAAAGACTGTGCTACAGGAAAGGAAATTTAGTCAAGTTTTTCACCTGCTGCTTTGTGGAAATAATGTAGGAGTCACTCCTTCAGTGTACTGGAGAGGAAATGAGGGGGAACAGATTTTCTTCTTGCTTTGAGATAAGCCTGAAGTTCCCAGAGGCTGAGGGCTGCTCTCCTAATGAGGCACACCAACATCTGAGCTGAAGCATCCAAGTAGAGCGCAGGCTGAAAAGCTCTCCTGGGATTATAAACGGAGATCAATGCTGCCAAAACTGGTGAAGAGAGTTTTGTTCTAGAAATTTTAAGGACAGCTGGGCTGAAGTGGTAGGAAGAATTAGAACCAATGAAATCGTGTAATCAAATGGAAGTATTAAATAGGGTGTAAAAGGAGGAGCTTTACATCTAATTCAGAGTACAGAATCACTTTCCCTGTTAAAATATTAGCTTTATGCTGAAGTGAGTATAGAGCTGCAAGAGACATGCTTAAGACTTCATACGTGCAATTTCAAAGTCAGTTCTTTGCTGTCAGAATTTCTTGGCAATTAGTATGATTTTTGTTTCACAAATTCCAATGCAACCTCATAACCAAGGTTTTGGTTTTTTTCCAGAAAAATAGGGAAATATGGAAAGAGGATGCAAAATACGTCTATGCAGTGTAGTTGAGAGTGGTGGATTGAGTTTTAGTCAGAACATAGCAAGAATCTTAAAACAAACACTGTAGGTTGGTTTTGCAGTAACTGATTTTGATTCCAAAATGACTCTAGACTTGCACTCAATTTGTATTCTTCTATTAAATACAAGAATGTCCTTAAGAAAGCTTCTAAAATTAGACAGATGTGTGAACAGCTTGACAAAGGCTACTTTTAAATTATTTCCAGAGTGCAGAACAGTAGTTTTGTGCAAACAACTGAATGTTGTGCAACAGGCCAGTTACAAGTTTTTCTTCATCTTTGGATGGTAGTGGCACTGCAGGCTTGTGTGCTTGTGCTTATTACTTCCTTGTCTTCCTTGATTTCTCCCCTGTCTTAGATCACTTCTCTTGGAAGGCAGAGAGTGAAGGTGAGAATTTGATACTTTTCTCCCTGCTGTTTGCCATCCAGCCATGTAGCACTGGAGCTGTGCAACAGAAGCACCTGAACCTTAGCAGCAGCAGTTCAGTGCTAGTGCTGGTTCTGATTTCAAGAAGCGGGTTGGAAGAAAAGTCCAAAGGATAACACTGACAGGAACATCCTGGAAGTTGACTTTTTAGAATATAGCCAACATGCTAAATGTTCTAAGGCAGTTTCTCCTTCAAGCAAATCCATAGTGTTATCAGCTTCACGCTGTGTGCCGTTGCTTCTCCTTATGCT